TATTAACAAATAAGTAGAACATGGCGATTTCCCATCATATTCATGGATTTAATATTGAATAAATAACTTCTTATGTGGTCAGTATATTGAAATAAGAACAAGAGCCCGAGACCCGTCCCTCCAAGAGGCGATATTCCAGATGATTTCAGGTCACGACATGAAGTATTGGGTCCTTATCTAGCCATTTGAATTCATGAAAGAAAAAGCAATTGATTTATTATATTGATATAAGTTGAAAAATATTCTGTTGACCTAATTTCTAAATTGTTTGTTTTCTGTGTTTTGGAATCTTTCTTCCTTTACTAATTTAGAATTGAACGAAGTTCTTATCTACTTAATCTGTCACGGAGAGATTCGATCCCATGATCCTCTGATCACAGATCAAGTACAAAATCAAAGGAAAAGTTCAACCTGAACATTGTGAGGCAAATGAAAATATAAATAAATGTTTTGTTTTTAGGTTCCTTTGAGTTTTTTTCGCTCATATTGAGCGACCTCTTGTCAGTTGTGAGCTGCAATTCTAGACCTATACTGGACACTTAGGTACATTGATTTATACGGTTTAAACCAATTTGAAAGGAAGATAAGAATTACTCCTTTACTCTTACATACTCTGACACAAGAGCAAACACTTGTACCACTGCACCAGGCAATCGACATCTCTTATTTACAAATCGTCTTCTGTGAGAATTTTGATAGCTGACCAACATTGTATTACACAAATGGTATCAGAAATGTTCCCACCAATTCATTAATTTCTCTTTAAAAAAACTGTTCTTCTGATTTTATTAGTCTATTCTATAAATTATTTTCAAGTAAAAGGTGATAGAAATTCTGAAATATGTTAAATCATGCTATGATTGACATAATTCACATTGTTTTAGGGTTCTTTGGTTTCGGTTTGTGTAGATATATTCTCTCCGGACAGGAGACGGTGTAAGTTTTTATTTTATACGGTCTGAGAACTTATAAAAAGTCATATAATGTGTGAGAAAACGATTCAATTAGCGATACATTTATTTCATTTTCTACAAGTACATATAGTTGAAAATTTTAAACATTTAGCAGTTTTTTTCTTGCACAGGTAGTACACATTCAATGTTACTGAACTACAAAGATCTGTATTTCACAGACATTTAAGATATCGGTTTTCCCTGGCCGGCTATGAATCACGAGTCTAACGCGGCTTCCCCTGGAACCGGAAGTACAGAACAGAAGAAGAAGGCCACCTGTCACCCCAGGTCCCGTAAAATAACCACATCCATTTTCTTTTCCATTTTCAACAACATTTATTGACAGATCGTGCAGTCTATCCCCTGTACAGAAAATGCATAAACCTTAGCCTGCAATTATGTGAGTCCAGCATTGTAAATACAGGATCTTGAATCGAAAAAGATACAAAAATATTTTTTTCATATTAGTAAAGCATAAAATGTGATGGAAATAAAAAAAAATAGATAAAAATAGAAAGAACTCAACCTAATTCAGTTTCAGAATGCCGAAAATAAAAATTTTATTTAATTTTAAGATGTCAATCCATCTTCATAAAATATCCTGTAAATCAACTATAATTATTTGCATCAATTTTAATTCAAAATTTGTCATTTTTAAATCCACGCAGATATTCAATTTTTTTGCGACTCGGGAAGATTTCGGCATAGATTGGTCCTTCGTAGAAAGCATGCAAAAAGCTATTTCACATATCTTTTACAAAAATAAAATCGTGTTTATAAGACGTATTTTTTTCTGAAATCGGTTAATCGGTTAATTAGAATTAAGAAATTCACCGCTTTGATCCTGTCTGTTGAAAATTAGAACTTTCACAACGTCAAAAATGCTTTGCAGATCTATTTCCATCCAAGGGTTAATTTCTTGGCGGGTATGTGCAGTAGTTAGCCCTGTTGGACATACAGTGATGTTGTCAACCGCGTTAGAGGCGAACTGATAGTCAGGTTTGAACACAGAAATCATAGTCGCTGGCTTGTTAACAGCAACTGTAAAAAAACATTTAACAAGAGTTTTCTTTGTGCAAAAGTTTGCAACGCACCCATTTTACATTATTAATCTTTTTTTTTTACAAATATCATGAAAAGAGTTTTACCAAATAAGAGAAATTATAGCTCAGAGGTCAAATCAGTTTTTCTTTATTTGTGAACTGTTCATAACATGTGATTGTTAATGTTGTCTATGAGATGTATGTCTCTTGCCTTCAATAAACTGAACATATAAAAGCTTCACTTTGTCCTTCAGTTCCTTTGTTTATCGGTGAAACATGTATTGAAACCTTGGAATAATAAAATTTATTGTTCCTGTATTAATGTTTTAATATTGTGTTGGTATACTGAGTATTCCATTTTGAATTTGAATCTATCTATCCGTGTAAACAGAGCCAAAAATTACAGTTCAAACGAAAATGTAGTCAATTGTATTTTTTCTTATATAGCTTTTGTTTTTATTTCTACCTAATCCTTTATAAAATTTTAATTGTTCTTACAGTTAAAAGATATGTCATCTGTCTGAAAAAATGAAGGCATATCCAATAAACCAAATGTTTCGTTAAAGGTCAGGGGCCCGTTTTACAAAAGAACTTACGACAAAGACCAAAAACTTCAGATGATTGTAAAATTTTGCAAAATTAACAATTCTCTTTGAAATTGTTTGTGTAAAAATATCTTACCATATATTCCTTTGGAAAAGTTTAAAATAATTTTCGATATGATTTTAGATAAAAAGTTAGATGAAGAATTAAATTTGGTCCTAAGTCGTAAGTCCTTTTGTAAAACGGGCCCGGTAGAGATAAAAATGATGATTAAAAAATCGAAACAACAACGCATGCATCAAAGGAATATTTTACATTGAAAACACCACGCATTGTATCAGCATGCTACAGTGTAGATGTAATAATCGATGATTCAAATGTTCCTTGCTTAACAAGAAATAAGAGATAATTATGGAAATATTATATGTATAACTAACTAAAGTATGTCAAAATTTTGTCGAATATTCCATATTTGAATTAAGTTGTGATTCGACTATTTTTTTTTCAATTCATATACAATTTTTGAGTACTAGAGTATTATGTTTTGCCCAATTCTCAAAATATTTGAGTTTATAAATATACAATACACATACCATCTCCATGTATTTACATTCCTGTGAATTATTATACATATATGGGGTTTCTGTTAATCGTAACCACTCACAGCAAACTCTGCATCTATACAAGTCTTCTCTAACTGTACATAACTCCATCCCAATGCAGCGTCGGTCACCGCTACAAAATCCGGCACATTTGTTGATGACAGTTGAGAATGAGGTTCCTTCTGGTGAAAACAAAACTTTGAAGTTGTCTGACAATGAACCATGTGCCTTTAGACTAAAATGTCGTTGATAGTAGTGAACATTGCAATAATACACAGTTAGGAAAATATACATATGATAACTTTGGTATTTCATCTTCTTTATAATATTTGCATTTGAAATGAAAGCTCAAAAGTTCTTGATAGAAATAGATGCTTGGTCTTAAAGTAGAGTGCTAAAATATTCATAGTAATAGCTCATCTCGTCTACGACCGTTTAAATGGGCAGATTTTTGATACCTTGCAGAACTATTTAATCTCAGAGAAACGTATTTCCTTTATTGATTTCTAAAGTTGAACGGGATATCTGAGCTGGAACTTTAATGATGTACTTGAGATAATTACTGCTAATTAGTTCGCTCAAAAACATAGAAATCTCATTTGATTTAATCCCATGAATTAAAAGAAGAACGCGGGATATGTTGTTGAATATTGGTTAAAAGAACACAGTTCTATTCTCCTGGTTGGAGGGTTTATTTGAAAATCATAAATCTTGTTTGGTAAAAGCATATAGTCTCCTATTATTCTCTCTAGTTATATCGTTACCACAATTACAGTTAATTAAGATCTTCCTTTATTAAAACCATTTCAGTGGAAAATATTCAAGGTAAATATTCAGCCTGATTGAGAAAACTAAATGGGTATTTTAAAGAATATAAATAGATAAAATGATTAAAAATTATAACCATGCAGAAAGATATTTTTTAATTTATACCCTTCATTCTAATTCATTCTCATTTTTTCTTATTCTTTTTTGATCCAAAAAGTATTAAGTATTCCAATTTGCAACGCTAGATGCAATTTAACTCCGTACAAAATATCTAGTGAATGCCTAGCTTAACCTTACATTCAAGTTCCTCCAGTAGTGTAGGAGATATTTGGAACTTTACAGACTTACTTTATTTTGTGTAGAAAGAACAAAATGATAAAACAAAAAAAAAACTATTTTGATAACCACTAATGATTAAAATCCTAGAATGAAACATATTGAGATAACGAACAATATTCCTGAAGGCTCAGCATTCCGTAAAACAAAAAAAAAAGGAGCAGAGCAAACATTGACATCCAAAACATCAGAGCTGGGATCAAATGCCATGGAGGAGTGAGTGGACACAAGGTAAGAGGCTGTTAAATCAGATGTTGAGTTTATCCATGCATGCAGTAAGTCACTTCTGCTGCAATGGGGGATCTTACCTGTAATTTCAAAAAAACACATATTAGAGAATGTCCGCTGTGATAACCAGACAAGCGCATGCATATTTGTAAGCATAACATATATTGGTTCGTGACAAACTTCGTCATCAATTTTTAAATAGACACTCCTACTGTCCTGATGTTTATTTTTAATGTTCCCTGTTTTAGTCTAACTTCTTTGTTGTGTGTATCAATGTTTAAATAGACCTCGCTGATATTAACATGTTTCATTAAACATGTAAGGGATCGACAAATACATAATGATAACCTAGTAAAATATGCATTATTTGGGACATGCAAAAAAAAATTAAACACAATTCAAACTTTAGACTCAACTCATGATATATTAATAAATATATCTCAGAGATACAAGAATGAAAATACCAGGTAACATCTTTACTGAGTTTTTTATCTACGTAATAAATTTGTTTTTTTGTATTCAAGATAAGGTACTACACAGTTAAAATCGATAAACCTCATCACTGACACATTTTTTGCAGCACGCTATGAGAGTAATTTGTTTGTTTATATTTTCAGGTAAGTTTCAGTTGATTTAACATTTCTTAGGATATAATTATAAAACTATACTAGGTTATATAATCCTTGTTATATTGGGGTTTGACCTAGATAAAGTAATACACTAGCATTGGAATGAGGTAATATAATTTACGTAAACTATTTCTTCTAACTTCTTGACAGTAAAATAAAACACCTCTCTCTCGATCTGTCGGTAACAATTTACATTCCTTAATTGGCAAAGTTGCAGAGGTATTTTTCAAGTGAAAGAGGTCAACTTCTATCTTACAGAAACGCATGAGATATATTCACATACCAATGTTGTTACGCAAATAAAAAGGAAGTAGGCTCTAAGTTCATATATATGTGGTGATACGCGTTTGCGAAATACTTTATTTGTTTTCATTTGTAGGGGGGTTCTCTTGTTGAATATTAAATAATTAATTGACTTATACATACACTTTATTTTCATTTTGTAATTTTAAAACATAAAATGGGGGTGGGGGGGGTGGGGGTGGTTAAGAAAATAACAATGATCTTTCATTGGGATAAGACATGAAGTCGATATAGTGATCAAATCTACTATAACGCCCTTCGTTGTTCAAGAATTTGGTCAAGTGACCATTTTTATGTCATATCCCAATGAAACTCTTCAAGAGATGTCTTATTTCTTGAATATATCATTATAACTTTAACTTTGTGATTGATATACGACAACGTTAATCAGGATAAAAGCAAACTGATTGTAAAACAGTTGTCCCTGTATGACAGATTTCAGCTAAAGTTAAGTTTAAGTTTATCAAATGTAAGTTATATGCAATATACGATATAATATATGAAGGATGAGAAATTTAGCACCATCCATTTAAAAGTAAAAGGTTTCACTTGTGAAAAATAGATCAAAATTCAGGGTCAAAGTCAAAAGGTAAAAATTGTTGGCATTTAAAAAAAGAAAAAGGTAAAAAATGGAAAGACATCTTGAAGGTCAAGCATGTTGATAACCACAACAAACAATCAAATATTCAACTCTTGAAAGAAGTGTATTGTCCTATAATTTACCTTTTCATACTGTACTATCCTTTTATTTAATTAAGAAAATCAAATCTTAAAAAAAAAAAAAAAAAAAAAAAAAACATGTTAAACTAGTTTGACACTTGACACACTTCAAATTCAGATTGGTTATGATATTGGCATTGTCAGTAAAAAAAAAAGCACACCCAAATCAGAGAAGATAAATATTGTTTACAATTAATTACTGAAATGAATCGCAATGGTTTGAAATCGACAATTCTACAAATGGTTGTTAAACAGCTGATGACACAAGACAAAAAGATGTCCTATTCATGCTTATAATTAAATTTAGCTGAAATGTAACTTTAAATTGTACATAATTATACATATTGTATGAATAGTTATCCCGCTTCAGACAAATTTGTTGATTACTGATTGGATAAATTCTAATCACATAACGCCCTGAAATTTTCCGTATTACGTCTCCGTTTCCATATTACGTCTTCGTCGAGGCGTAATATGAAAATCGGGCAGGCGATTCCGTTCGAAGCGTTGTTATTGTAAATAAAAATGGCGCCAACGAAACGGTTTACGTAAGTAGTTTAGTTTAATTTCTTGTTACCGTAACGATATTTTATTCTGAATGTTATTGGATTAAAGCTTATATTTTCATAATATGCACAACTATTTTTTTTACATTGAAAAAGGTCTTCAGCGGGATAAATTCGTTACACAGTCAGTTAGTGACCTAATACGGATTCATACAGGGTGTGGAATGGAAATCCGTATTGGGCGAGGCGAAGCCGAGTCCAATACGGATTTCCATTTCACACCCTGTATGAATCCGTATTAGGTCACTAACTGACTGTGTAACTAATATTATGTTATCGTACAATCTTTAAAACATTAATAATGGACACTGTACTTGTAAAAAAAATATAAGTCCTTTAATAGCATAAATTACATGTTTCCCCACCTGCAATTATATATGACACTTACTAGCGCATGTAAAATTATGTCAAAATATTGAAAATTTTATTTCTTGTTTTAGCTGTATTATTAGGCGTTTCAGGAAGATGTAGATTTCAGGAATATGGATATTATTACGATGACGATGATGGAATGTGGAAGAAAGGTATACACTACACCTATGTTTACTGCAGCGGCTACTGTAACCATGTAAGCAATTCCTGCGACTATGTTTACCACGTTTCAAGCAGCGTGTAAGTGTATTTCTTATTACAATTCTCTGTATTCAACTAATATAACGTGAGTTTTTGGACCTTTGATGATAATTTCTTATTTACGTCGTTTTCAGGAGTGTCGGAACCATTACTGGTGCAGTCGTCGGTGCTTTAGCTGGCCTGGCAATACTGGTTACTATTTGTGTAGTGGTAGCCTGTGTTTGTGCTAGGCAACGTAGAAGTCCTGGTCAAGTTATTTATGCCAGTCGTCCTGGAAACACAACGGTCGCATACAACAATAGTACGTTCCTTAAAAAAATATTTATTTGAAACGTTTTATCTTACATAAAATGAGGTTTACATGCGGTAATGTATATATCTTTAAAAAGACACTAAAGCATATACTGTAAACGTGGTGCATGTTTTTCTATACATTTTGAGTGACCATTGTTTAAAAAGGACGTTAAAACAGATACTTTTTTCCTATTCTACAGCTACAACGCAGTATTCAGTCGGAGTTCAACAGCTTGTTTATACAGTTTCTACAACGAATGAAAATACCACTAAATCCCATTAAAAGAAGTGACATCAAATGATCAAATTTATCGAAGACTTCTTGTCCTAAAAATATGCAAACGATTAATCACCTGTCACACTCAAGTTTTTATACTCTATTTAAAATTATTTATTGTTTATGCAGTTTGACATTCGGAAAAACTAGTTTTTCAAAATAGGTTGCAGCTTATGTTGAAAGGTCTTTTAGGTTCTCTGAAATTTTGTATTTTGTGAATATATAGCGATAATCATCTATGGTTCGATCCTTAAATGTGCCCAGTGACTTCGGATTCTTCCCCTGTAATTTCCAAAGCATGACAAGGAGTATACGGTTGGTAAGATCGATAAGCTAGGGATGCTCACTCCTTAATAGCTCTCCTGATCCCAGCTCTGATGTTTTGCAGGTTCGTTTTTGCTCTGCTCCTATTTTATATTGCGTTATGGACTTTTAATGTTGAATACCCTTCGTTATCTTCATATGTTTCAAACACACTTTCATTCCTTCATTGACTGTTCTCAGAATAAAAAGATTATCATGTTTGGAAAAAAAAAATTTAAACCATTCACTATCCACACAAAACATTTCTAGTTTTTGGGAGTTTGCTTATAATTGAAGCTGCAATATTTATATTATTTTCATTATATATTTTTAAACATTCAGTAAAATGATTTGCTTCATTTTTTTTGGTTCGTGACAAACTTCTTCATCAATCTTTGAATAGACACTCTTACTGTCCTGATGTTTATTTTAAATGTTCCCTGTTTTACTCTTACTTCTTTGTTGTGTGTATCAATGTTTAAATAGTGTAAAATCACATATTTTCGTGAAAGCAAATTTTTTAAGGTTTGAGAAAAAAATATTTTATGTGGGGATTTGATTTCGAGGTTAAAGAAGTATTGATAAATGATGCATATTAAATTTAACATTTCATGGTCCTCGTGAATTCCTGTCTCTCTCCATACCTTGAAAACAACAAAAATTACCCCCCCCCCCTTTCCAAACAAAAATAGTGATTTCATAGTATATAGACGTCGATGACATTTATATATCATTCAACATTTATATAAAGGATCGACAAATGAATACTGGTGACCTTGTGAATTAAGCATTATATGAAACATACAAAGAAAATGCATCACAAGACCCAATTCATGATATATTGATAAATAACATATATCAGAGATAAAAGAATGAAAAAAAAATCTTTACTGAGTATTTGCTCTACGAAATATACATATGACAAGTTTGTGTGTTTATAAGGCACTCTACACGTAAAATAAAAACGATCGATAAATCTCAACACTGACACATTTTGAAACACGCTATGAGAGTAATTGTTTTCTTTAAATTTTCAGGTAAGTGTCAGTTGATCTATTATTTGTTAAGATAAAATTATAAATAAAACTACGAGGTGATACAATCATTGTTTAATAATTATTGGTTTTGACCTAGATAAAATAATATACTAGCATCGGAATGAGACAATGTTATTCCCGTATTTCTTCTCACTTACTGAAAATCGAATAAAACACACCCCTTTCTTTGTAAGTATGAGTTTACATCTCTCAATTGTCAAAGTTGCAGGGTTTTTTTTTATCAAGTGAAAGAGGTCAATTTATATCTCAAGGAAACGATTAAAGCCTAAATATATTTACATACCTATGTTGTAAGGCAAAAAAAGGAAGCCAGATTCAGATATATGTTGTGATAGACGTTTGTAAAATACCTTTACTTGTTTTTAATTTTTTGGATTTTTTTTAATGCTGTTATTAATTTTAATTTTACCTAAATAAAAAATGGATTGACCATGTGGTGTCTTGGATTAAGCTAATTATTTTTTTTCTCACTGAAACTTCAATGAATGGAAAAAAATGAGCATATGAAAGAAAGCCTAGTAGTTTACCTTGTTGCCATGGGAACGGGGCTAGATGGTGTGAATAATAGTCGACATTGCTTTTTATCAATTATATCATGAAAAATTGACAAGACAAAGCTGTTTTTATGCTTCATGACAATAAAAACTTTGTAAAAAACAGTATATGTCATAAAGGTTTTACATTTTTTTTAATTTTCTAATGCTTTATAAGTGAATAATTAGTCCTCGTTACTACCCATGTCCGACTTACATAAAGACATTGCCAAGTGATATGAAAATTCTATTAGGGATATTAAGATTCACATTTTTTTTACAAATATTATTTAAAACATTCATGGGTAAATGAAAAAAATAACATTTTGTTTCACCATAAAATTGGTCTAAACCTAGCGGTTGAGCGTTCGCTTCGTGATCGGGAGGCCCGGGTTCGATTAATTCTTGTTCGCGGCGCCGCGTCGAAATTAAGCCTTAGGCGTAAACATAGGTACATATAGTGACTGATCCATCGCTAGACATTCGGCATTAGTGGTGAAAGTCCAGGCCCCAGGACTATGAAGCATCTTAAGCTTAAGTCAAATTCTTCATGTTATGCTTAAATGTTGTGGATGTTCAAGCAGATCAAAATAAATAAATTTCAGTATTGATACACAAATGTGCTGTAATTTGCTAATTTTGAGATCAATTCAGTAATTGATAAAAATTAAACAGTCAATTGAAAAAATGACTTAGGTCTAAGTCCGTTTCATGACCCTGGGGCCAGGATTTTTCGGAAATGACCTTAAAACTTAAGTCCATGTCTCGGTAGGCGTTGGTACGATTCAGAGCCATAACTGCGCAATGGCCCTTAGTGCCGAGTACTAATAGGTCTAAATTTGATATTCTCCATATAAGTAAAAAATTCTCGAGAGGGACGTTAATCAACAGACAATCAATTAATGTATCCGAGTTTTTTTTTTCCTCGTTGGAGCTCTTAGGCATTGAAAAATGTAAACAAGAAGACAGACAATAAAATCTGCACTTCAAGGGGTCCAGCCAAAAGAGTATTTCATTTGCAACCGAAAAAATGGCGGATATGAAGCAGAGAAGCAAACGAGGTCAGTATCTTTTGTGTAATTTTAGGAACTATTACCATTAATTTTGATAAATGAATGTTACGTTTCGGTGCGCCTATCTACAGTATATCCTTTCCAACGGGAAAACTACGATAACTTTTGCGATTTACTTTTAGATGTAAAAAGTATTGAAGAAAAGTCCAAAGCTGTGAAAATTACATAAATTTGTAAAATTCCGGTCAAATATTAGAAAAAAAAACAATTACCATTCACAAAAATCTAGATTTAGAAATTCTATTCACAATTTACGACTTTAGGATAAAAATTACTTTGCAAAGATGATATTAGGACAGGTTTAATTTTAATTGCAACTCTGTGATTCAGAACGTTGGTCTTTACTTTATTGAAATGGCATCTTCGCCAAAATAACTGGCAATGTTATAGTGTTTGCAATTAATTTGACGAAAATTGTATATTTTTCTGAATTTTGTTTTATTTGTAATAGTTCAGATAGTTAATTTCTGTATATTTACTATTGCGAATTGATTACACGCTTCAAAGAAACGCTATATTTTGATTCTGAATTAAATGCGCAAATCATTAAAAATTTTGTAATGTTTACTTTTCCGCTTCGACATCGTCATTTTCTCTGTTGCAAAGGAAAATTCGACTTTGTAAACTGGGGCGTATCATTTAGTGAGCTCATTACTTACAGTACCTCCAGTTTAATTTAAAACAGAGAAAATTTTGCTTAATCGGAGGGTTCTAAATATAAAATCCTTGTTACCATGGCAAACAAATCGAAATTGTATAATTTAACGTCATATTTATGAAAAATATGCCAAATGTAGTAAATGGTTTGAAATTCAGCTAAATCATAAACATGTCATGTCCAAACCCTTTTAAAATTTTGATTTTTTATAGAGAATTACTAATAAATTAATAATTGATATATACATGTAAAGTTTTTTTTAATTTTAAAATTAAACTAGAGGTACTGTAAGCAATGAGTACACTAAATGATATGCCCCGCTTCACATATGAATAAAATGGCAGTGTCCATGTTTTGCAATGGTAAACCCAAAGTATGTGTCGGATCAAAAAGTAAAATAGGAGGTGCAAAATGAGAATATGTAATAAAGATTCTGTGGAGGTTTCATTAAATTTCAATTAATGGTATGAGAGAAGTTGCGGATAAGAGATTGGTACCCCAAAGCGTAATAGATGGACGGACAGACATACCGATTACTTTATTCACTCCCGCTTTTCGAGCAGGGTGGGGGTGGTATAAACTCAAAATGGGGATATAACATGAAGTCGGTATTTATCAAATCTACTATAGCGAACTGCATGATCACGTGTTCATGAATTTGATCAATTAAGTGACCAACTTCATTTGATTTCTCAATGAAACTCTAAATGATAGATCTTGTTTCTTACATATGTCATGGAAAAGTCAACTTTGCTATTGATACATGTATATGAAACATTTAGAACTTGTTCGACAAGATAAAGGCAGATTTGACTGTATCATAGTCGAGCAGCAGATACATGATAGAACAAGAAGTGTTTGTAAAACACTCTTGCCCCTCTATGACAGCTTTGAGATGAAGTTAAATTTATCAAAAAAAAAAGTCATAAGAAATATACATATAAAGTATTAAAACCCCAGCACCATCCATGAAAAAGTTAAATGTTTAAGTTTGTCAAAAGTAGGTCATATTCAAAAGTCAAAGTCAAAATGTAAAATTTATTGTCATTCAAAAAGAGGCATTGACACATGGAAATGTTCTAAAGTTATACCCAAGGATAATTGTTTAACATTGGTCAAACTCAAACGTCAAGGTCATCAGGTCATAAATATTCATTTCCTAGAAAGATCGAAGTGTAATGAATACAAAAAAAGTATAAAGTCTCATGAACCAGGTTTAAGAATGGAAAGAATTTTTTTTTTCAAAATCGACTAAAAGCTAAAAATTCAAGAGGGCAAGTATGGTAATACAAAAAGAATGACCAAGTATGTTAAACACAAAGAATGACCTTATCACAACTATAATAATATAACGTATATCGACTTTGCTTGGCGGGTGTAA